ATAGGTGTTTTAAACCCTTCCCACACTCTTGCAATATTCTAAACAATGTTTCTAAACGCTCTAAAAGAACACAGCATGTCATGATTTCAGCTCCTGCCTCCTCTGCTCTTTGCCATCTGCAAGCAAGAAGGTATCTCTGCAGACAAATATGGAAGGCATATCTCGAGGACCACATCTGATTGGACAAAAAAAAAAGGCATTATTGGCAGATTGTGTTAACCACAGACATATTATGTCTATGGTGTTAACTGGTTTGACATTAGCGGCGTCTCCATAACTTCTCTTTCCTCCTCTCTTAACACAGAACTTCCAGTTATTTCAAAATAAGAGCAACATAACTGGGTAGTGTGGAGGGCTAAATGTTTCTTTTTAATACCTAGCCATTACATTAAAAAACAAAATAAATTTTGGTTGTTGAAAAATGTGAAAATAGTTACAATCGATTCATAAAGAAAGAACAATAAAGTAAACAAAATATTAATGATACTTAAACTGGCTTTGGGACAAAGGATATTTCCTTTAACTTCACATTTTCTTGTTCAACCTTTTAAATCAGTCACTGCAGATGAGTGATGGTCAGGTTCTGTAAGATTTCTACAACTGGAGCAGGTATTTCTGTTTACTGGTTAACTTCCTCAGCTGTCTCACATTTTAAGGGTCAATCCTACTCCATGTTTCAGCTCTTTCATAGATCAGATTCATAGAAGAACTTCTAAAGAGAACATTTTGTTTTTAGCTTTTGTTTTGGGCCGTTATCTCGTTACAGGACTCATAATTTTTGAGACCAGCGTTTTTGACAACTGGGAGTAGGTTTCGCTTCAGATACTTCATATTTCATTGTACCCAGACCACACTCAAGACAACCTGTGTCAGGTGCAGCCTACAACTCAAGAACAAAAAAGAATCTTCTTGTGTTTGACAGTAGATATAACGCTGGTTCTTAGAAACTTTAAGTTTATAAAAAAAAAGAGCTGATGTAACTTACCTAAAGAGACCTAAAATACAGCTAGACAATCAGTGTGTGCCCCCTACAAACTCCTATTCTCCAGAAATGCCCACTTTTGGTCTGCAGAGAACCCCTTCTCCCTGCAAGTGCTCTTGGCCACGCCCACTTCCCCACTCTGCACCTCAACAGCTGATCAGCTGTTTAATTGCAGCAGGAAGTTTATCCTGCAGCAGTGTGGGTTGCACAAAGGTGCAGGAGGTGTTAAAGAATTTAAAATAATTTATTTTAAATAAAAATTCCATCCTGATCGTGCGGCTCATCCATCAATCAGCAAACTGTGTGTCATGTCCAATCTTATTTTGAAAAACCGCGATGGAGCGAATCCGCGATAAACGACCCGCGAAGTAGCGAGGGACTACAGTATAGCAATAAAGTGAACTGAATTAAACTAATAAAACACCTCTCAGATTAAAGGGACAAATATTAACAGCTGATTTGTGCGTGTTTGTTTTTAACAGTGGTAGCACTCCGAGCAGAGGTCCTCTCTCACAAAAACAAGCTGAATACTTTCTTGCACGACAGGTGAGTGCTGAAAAACATCTGGCCACTAATTAATTCTGTGGACTTTTGTTCACTTCAGTCGATTTCCTCCTCAGACTGTCAAACCTAGCTGCTCTGTTGTAACACTGAAGAGCTCTGACAGATCTAGAAACTGTCTCTCTGTAGGCGTATCTTCTGAAGAACGATGAGAACAAAGCCCTGAAGCCTGCAGCGCTGCAGGAGGAGCTCAACAACATGCTCAAGTTTAACCCCGACTTCGCAGAAGCGGTGCGTTCCATCCACGTAGCTTTCAATGAATAACGTTGAGTGATTTCCGTCTCCTTCAACCGTCTCCCGGCTCTCTTTGTTTGCAGCATTACCTGAACTACCTGAACAGCATGAGAGTGCAGGACATCTTCCTCTCAGCCCACAGCCTCCTGCATTATTTTGACCGCCTCATCTTGTCCAGTACCGAGGGGAAGAGCAACGGAGAGGAAGGCTACGGTCGGAGTCTCCGCTACGCTGCTCTCAACCTGGCAAGCCTGCACTGTCGCTTTGGCCACTAGTAAGTTGAAAAGCTGGAGGAGCCTGGTGGGTTTTTAATGAGGAGGATCAATGTTTCTGTCTTCCTTCAGTCAGCAGGCTGATCTGGCTCTGCAGGAGGCCATCCGGATCGCCCAGGAGTCCAACGATCACGTCTGCCTGCAGCACTGTCTGGTAAAACAATAAGTTTTTGTTTTATTAGATTTCACTCAAATGAGCCTGGAGGGTTGTGACTTAAATCCCGAGTGTTTTCTGTCAGAGCTGGCTCTACACCCTGGAACAGATGAAGGGAACCGACAGCACCGTGCTAACGGAGGACTCGGTGAAAATGGCCGCTCATTTCTGCCTGCCCGTGAGTTTACCGTGAAGCTCTCGGGAGAATGTGACTTTGGTTTGTGATTTCAGAGCTTTCTCTCAGCATGCACGTCTTTAGAAAGCAGTCCGCAAACTAAAAACATCTGGGTCCGCTCAAGTAGTGTATGAGTGCCACACTTGTATAAAAACTGCAGACAGAAACGTTTTACACCCGCTCAGATTTTTTACGTTTTGTTTTTCAAACTATATATTTTTCATTAGCATATAATGTGTGTTTTTTTTTATATATAATCAGTAAAAACAAAAGTCTTAAATACCTCTTTAACAAGTATTCAGTGTTCTTTTATTGGTGAGTTTTTGTTGGGATTTTACAAACTGAAGTGGATTACAGGATGTTGTAGGGTGAGTTAATCTGGTTCATTTTATTGGTTTAGTGTGTTTAACAGGGACCGACGGTCACTGTCGGCTTTAACGTGCTGTCAATCACAGAACAGCAGCGTTATGGCCCATTACATTCACCAGTTAAACACAGGGCTGATGTTCAATATATTATTTTTATTCATCGTAATTATTTTAATGTGGTATCTGTGTTGTTGGTGCAAGTCACTAGTTTGACAAACTAGGAAGTTACAAAAATCTGGTTAAAAAATAAAAATAGGTCAATTCATTTTAAGATGAATCAAAATGAGTGCGCTCAGTCGGTCGGTCAGTTGTGTAAGTCTCTCATGAACTACTGAGCTGGTTTTATTAAACTTTTTTTTTTAATCCCTGGTTTTACAGCTGGTTGATTTTTGTAGTCAACTCGATTTAAGATGGCCGCCACAGTCAACGTGATCTTAGGAAACACAGAAATATTCTAACTCTCATAGATCTACAGGTGTTTGGTGTGGTAGTAGCTGAGACTAGTTCATAACAGATACTCCAAGCGCTGCATTGCATGGCGCTACTTAAAACTTTGGCATTGCTTCTTGGTGTCAACCCTGGTTGTCTGTTAGCGAAATATCCCATTAACCACTGGACGGGTTTGATTTCAGCTCTCAGAAAGAAATCATAAAATGCACATCTGGAACTGATTAACGTTTACAGTCAACCCAAACCAAGATGGCCACCTTTACAACCCCAAAAAGGTTTTAAAGGTCAGGTTTACAGCTCCTGAGCTAAAGTTTGATGTGGTAGTAGCTGAGAGTCTTATTGACATGTACTCTGAGTGCTAACAAACCTCACAAGATATTTGAATACTGTGTGTTAGGTATGGCCCAGTAAGTGTCACTCTGTCCCTTCAGAGTGACGGGTCTTGGTTCAGCGGGCTGACAGGAAAGGTGATGCAATCTTTCACACATTCTTAACCTTTCAGTGCTGAAGGTTGAGCATGAATACAGTTCTCGTTTAGACTTCCAGAGATGTCCACCACAACTTTTACACAGAAAAACCACTTCCTGTTTATTCAAAGATCCACACATTCAGACGTGGAAAAAGACTTGGTTGTGTTGTCGGCAGGTGATGAAGAGCTTTGTGTTGCTCTTCATCATTACACCTCCTCACCAGCTGGAGGCGTTGTGTTTCCAGCTCACCTGCATGTTTGTACCTGGAAACTGATCGTGAGCTCAACACAGGATTTTATTTGTTTCCAAAGCGGACCACTGGTTAGTTGGAGGTGGTCTTTTAATCATGAGGTTGCTGGTTTGAGCCCGGGTTGTGTCAGGAAGGACGTCTGGTGTAAAACGCTCCATAAATCTTTCCTGTGAGTTAACTCGCTGTGGCGACACCTGAAGAAGAGAAAAACAACTTGGACTTTTAGATTAACTCACATGAATTTCAAGTCAAAGTACTGACCAACATTCAACATTTCATACAAAATCTAGGAATATACTGTAATTATAAGATGCTTTAGTTTTTCTGCTTAAAATGTAATATTTGCGGGCAGCACGGTGGCGCAACTGGTAGAGCTGCTGCTTCTCAGCGAGCAGGTCCCTGGTTCAAACCCCGGTCCAGGGGCCTTTCTGGGTGGAGTTTGCATGTTCTCTCCGTGCATGCGTGGGTTTTCTCCGGGTACTCCGGTTTCCTCCCACAGTCCAAAAACATGCATGTTAGGCTGATTGGTAACTCTAAATTGTCCCTAGGTGTGAGTGAGAGAGTGAATGTTTGTTTGTCTTGTTTGTCTCTATGTGGCCCTGTGATGGACTTGCGACCCGTCCAGGGTGTACCCCGCCCCTCGCACAGTGATTGCTGGACATGGGCACCAGCGACCCCCGTGACCCAAAATGGAATAAGCGGGTAAAGAAAATGGATGGATGGATGGATGTAATATTTGCTTTGAAGAAAAGGACATTAAAATGACTTTGTTGTGAAATTTAAGCCAAAGCATTTGTAACTATTGGAGAAACAAGCACATGATTGTACTGTAGCTCATCCGTATATGACTGTTTGTGTACTTTATTAGTTTTACTTTATTCGTGATGTGTTTTGTTCTCGCTGCAGTACTTGGCGTCTCTGGGCATTCAGTCGTTGGTCCAGCAGGGAGCGACGCAGGGTAAGACTGCGCACAAACTGATGGATGCGCTGAAGGACACGGACATCCTGCACTGGAAGCAGAGCCTGTCGGAGCTGATCGAGATCAGTCTGGCGCAGACCACGTCCATATGGAGGATGTACGGAAAGAGGTCAGGCTCTCCACGTTGTCACCGTAACACACTCTTGTCAGTTCTGCTCACTGTTGACCGCGTCCCAACACACTCACGTCACATGAGCTCAGACTGAGGCGTTTCAAACTGGATCGACACGTCTGAGCATTCTCTGCACACTTCAGATGGTTCCGAGTCAGAGGAAACTTGTTTTGGCTTCAACGTGGCCTCTCTTGTTTCACGCAGCACCATGGCCCTGCAGCAGGCCCAGCTGCTCCTCAACATGAGCAGTCTGGAGCCGGTCAACTTCGGGGTCCATCAGAACAACACGGAGGCCTTTGCCGTGGCGCTCTGCCATCTGGCCGAGCTGCACGCTGAGCAGGTAACACACCTGATCTCATGTTGTGCTTCTGTTTTCTGTCCTGCTGTTGGTCACTCAACAGGGTCCTTGTCTTCCCAGTCGTGCTTTGAAAGTTTGTGCTTTTAATTTTCTATATTTCTGCATAAATATGACCTAAAACTTCCTCAGATCTTCACACAAGTCCTAAAAGGAGATGAAGAAAACCAAATTAAAGAAATTAGATGAAAATATTATACTTGGTCATTATTTATTGAGGAAAATGATCCAATATTCCATATTTGTGAGTGTTTATATGTGAACCTCTAGGATTAACAGTTAATATGAAAGTGGAATTAGAGTCAGGTGTTTTCAATCAGTGGATGATGATCAGGTGTGGGTGGACACCCTGTTTAATTTAAAGAACAGGATCTATCAAGGTCTGCTCTTCACAACATGTTTGTGGAAGTGGATCATGGCAGGAACAAAGGAGATTTCTGAAGAGCTCAGAAAAAGAGTTGTTGATGCTCATCAGGCTGGAAACGGTTAAACAAAACATCTGTAAAGAGTTTGGACTTCACCAATCCACAGTCAGACAGACTGTGTACAAGTGGAAGAAACTCAAGACCATTGTTACCCTCCCCAGGAGTGGTGGACCAACAAAGATCATATGGTTTACACCATATGCTGAAAGCCAAGGTTCACATATTTTTGCCACTCAAATTGTATGTAATATTGGAACATTTTCCTCGATAAGTAAAAGACCAAGTATAATGTTTTTGTCTCGTTTGTTTAACGGGAGGACCGGGATCATCCCCCGGTGTCTGTCCGTGGCGACTGCTGGGAGCAGTGACCATCAGGGAGGAGTTCTACCAGGCATTCAGGTAGTCCTGCTGCCCAAGAGGACCAAGAGGCCCGCCGGATCTGACAGCAAGCTGGATCCGGGTGGACGGATCAGTATCTGTGGCCAGATTATTCGGATTCGCTGCAGGAGACCCTTCCTGCCCACAGCTCTCAGCATCTATAACAACTCTTGAATGTAACCAGGATGATGAGCTATGACACTTAATTTCCCTTTGGTATTAATAAAGTATTTTTAAATTGAATTGAACTGGGTTCTCTTTATCTACTTTTAGGACTTGTGTGAAAATCTGATGATGTTTGACGTCATATTTATGCAGAAATATCAAAAATTCTGAAGCGTTCACAAACTTCCAAGCGCCACTGTATCTGGTAATGAACATGAAGTCAGGCTGGACTCTCGGCTCCACTAGTTCTCATGTGTCTTTGTGGTTTTGTTGCAGGGCTTGTATGCTGCAGCGTCAGAGGTTTTCCAGCATCTGAAGGAACAGTTTCCTCCTCACACTCAGCATGCTAAGGTGTTCATCCTCTTCTCTTTATGTGACACGCTGACAGCTTGACAGGGAAGTGGAAAAAAGAAGCAAGACTTGAGTCTTTAGGGTGGCAGCTGGTCTGAGCTACTCAGAAGACTTCTGTGGATTTTATAACATAAATAAATCATTATTATTTGAAGTATATAATAAGTAAAGTTTTCTAGCTTTCTTTTTAAAGGTTTTATTGAAAATAAAGTGGAAATGTTTTTTTCTTCTTTTGGTTGATTTTAAGTAAACGAGTTATTGTCTAGGACCTAGACTGTAGGTTGTGTAATTATTTTATTCTGTATTAATATGTAAATGGAGTAATATAAATACTCTTTTTTTTTTTTTGTTCATATTATCCTCCTGTGTAGCTCTGGATGTTGTGTGATTTGAAAATTCAGTTTGAAAAACACATGAATGAAAGGAAATATCATTTAGCGGAGCCGCTAGTGAACGCTGTCTCAGCCCTTAACAAAACAGAAGGACTCTACAGGTAACACCTCAGTTCTGCCAACATTTACTCTTCCAAGCATGTGTAATCTGTAATACTAACGGTGTGTTTTATGACAGGAAAGCTCAAGTTCTGAAGGCGCTCAGCCGCAGCACTGAGGCATACAACATCTTACAGCGTCTGCAGGTCCACTGTGAGAAGACGAAATGCACAGACGTGATCATCAGGTTTGTTTCAATGCTTGTTTACTGCTTTGTAAAAAAAAAAAAAAAGTCCATCCTTAGATTTGAAACCAACTTTTCTGTTATTTTTTTCTCATCTTTTATTCTATAACATTTTTACAGTTGTTCTGAGCCATATCTATTTCATTTCCACTTTGCGTGTCGTTCAGAGTGATGCTGTCCACTGCTGAGCTGCACTGGGAATCGTCCGGCTTCTCCACAGCTCTTCCCATTCTCCTGCAGGCGCTGACTCTGGCCAGACAGCACCACCTTCAGTCCCTGGTCTCAGAATCCATCCTTCATCTGGCCTTCACTCAGGTCAGCCACAACATAACAAGACTTCATTTATGTGCAGTCAGTGTCTTACCTGCAGCAGTCGGATAGTTCAGTTCAGATAACTTCTCATGGGAGAGTCCAGCTAACCTTTGTCGTCTGAAAGAACTCAAACTAAGACTTCCCTTGCAGTTCATTCACACAATATTTTATGTGTTTTTACACTTTAAATGAGACAAATGTTTACAAAATCACTATTATTTCAAACAAACTACAAACATTACAACACATTACTGTGGGCACCATGACGGGATTTGCAGTTCCACCTGTTAAACCCTGTACAAATGAACAATAAAAACAAGTTATTAAAAAATATAAAGAAAGACAACATGCTTCTTTTGAGGGCAGATCAACAATTACTCTAGAGTCTGAATTATCCAGAGGAAACATTGTTGGTCCGAGAGTAACTGGCTTCTGCTTCAGCTGTTATGTGCATTTAGCATCCACAGTGCACACAGTTAGCATAGCAGTATGAGTGAGTCAGGATAAATAAAGATGGACGAAGTGACTCCATTCACTTCTTTGTTCAAAACTGGAGCCAAAATTTCTGGTTTACATCGAGCTTCCATGTTGTATTTATAGAGCCGGACACTGACTCACAACGTGGAGAAAGAAAGTCTCTCCTACATGCCTTTCCAACTTGCTAAGAGGCGTTCAAATTGTCAATCACAGTGTAACATGACACATTTTGAGGCCTCATATAGCTAATTAAAAGTAAACATAATAAAAAATGCATATATGAACATGCAGCAGCAAGGTAAGAACTATGAATGGACAAATAACCTGCACCTTAAAGAAGATCTGAAGTGTAATTTTGTTTTTAGTCAGGAAAATGACTCTTTTACATTTAATATTTGTACTCTTGGTCTTTGGTGGTTTAAACTTGTAATAAATATTGGTGCGTGATTAAAATTAATTTCAGTTACATTTGATAGGAATATTATGAGTTTGAGACATTAAGACTTGTGCTGCAGTGGTCTTAAGTATCTTTAAAATGAAATCATTCTCTGCAGGTAAGATACTGACTGCTCAGTAACACTCCAAATAATGCCACTTACAAAAAAAAATAGCCTGGTTAAACAGTGTTCCAGTTCCAGTTCTGTTTATCCTCAAAACTTTGTGCAGTTTTGGACGTATTCAGTTTTTTTTTCTATTTTCTTGGGGTGTCTTCTTCTTCAGCTCAGATTTCTTTGTAAAGGTGGCAAAGCTCAGTTCACAGCTACAGTCTGAAGTCATTTGTGAGCATCACTGTATAATTTAGTTCGGAGCCCGTGACCATCAGAAATGTTTGATTTACTGTCCCACATTCTCTCTAGCTGATGCTGGGAGTCCCTGATCGTGCTCTGCTTGTTCTTCATGAAGCCATGGAGCCGGTTCTGGCCCACGGAGCTGTCATAGACAAAGGGCGTGCCATTCTGCTGGCTGCACGCTGTCAGATGGCTGTAGCTGGGTTTGGACCAAATGGACATGGTCAACCAGGTATTATTACCCCCCACTGACCCACTCTATACCAGAGTCCCTCATGTTCGTGTTGCCTTTACGCTCTACTTCTTTGTGTGGCCTGACAGATTTGCAGTTGGCACTTTTGGCTGCTGACACACTGAACGAGGCTGCAGTCTATTTTTCCAAGCTGAACTGTAAAGAGCGGCTGCGGGACGTCCACTACCTGCAGGCTCAGCTCCACCGCTACCTGGGACAAACCCAGGAGAGCAACAAAAGTGCTATGCTCTTCCGGCTGCTGGACCAGGAGCTGCAGACTCCGGCACCGCCCGTTTCCATGCAACTCTGACAAAACTCCCTTTACGACAACAAACTGGATGTTTTCGCTAATAAAATATTTTTCCTCAAATGGCTGAGTTAAGTTACTGCAACTCACCGCTAGGTGGCGGAAAAGTTTTGTCTTAATTTTATTTTAAATTCAAATATTTGGAAGGAAATTTAGTTTTGAAACTTTGTAAAAAATATATTGAGCAGAGCAAAAGTAAGCGGTCATAATTAAAGATTAGTTTCCAGTCGATGAAGATTGTGTACATCGTGTCAGCTTGGGTTTGGTGCAGCTTTAAGTGAACAACAAAGTCCATGCTCAATAATCCAGGTAATCCAACATTTTTCAGCTTTAAGTGAAGGCGCTAATTATAACAAGGGTTTTATCAGCAGCACATCATGTCTGTCTGCTAACTCTATAAAACTGTTGTAAAAGTTTATCAGTAGCTGTGCTGACTTCCTCAGCTTTCTGATGAATGAGGGTAATATCACCATTAGCCACAAGATGAATGTGTTTCAGGAGCCCGGGTGATCCTTGTTTCTCCTGGAGAATACTGATGAAGCTGGCACCCAGAAAAAGCAACCATGAGCACATTAGCCCTGTGACAAGACACCACATCTGTGATAAACTTTACACCTGACATCGTTTGTCAGAAACTTTCACCAGACAGCCTGAACTTTAATTCATCGCTCCATGAACTCCTTTCAGGGAAATTTCTGTCTCACTTCGCTATGTTTAAAATTGGTTGTTCTGGATGTTTAGAGGAATAACTACAACAGAAAACGACAACAGCTGGGATGTTTGTGGTTTTCCTTCAACTACATTTAAAGTTTTTTAAGATATTTTGGTACCACTTTACAATAAGGCTCCCCTTATAGATGACTAATAAATAGTTTATGGATGCGTTAAATTCCTCTATAAACACTTTATAAATCATTAACTGCTTATTATGCATTAATTAAAGGTGACAGAGACAAAACTGAGCAGTTTCTTGCCAAATACTGAGTCAAACCTGTTCACCTATAAATTTCATCTAGAGTTTATTAAACATTTCTAAGTAACTACCTTGTGAGCACAATAAGCATTTGTAAACCTATTTTTTTAGAATATAATATTGTACTTTATCACTGCATTATACGTATAGCTAATATTATATCCTAAAAAATAGGTTTACAAATGCTTATTGCTTTTACAAGGTAGTAACTTAGTTTGAAATATTTAATATTACAACTCCAGATGAAATGTATAGGTGGCAGATATGGCAAGAAACTGTTCAGTTTTGTCTCCGTCACCCTTAATTAATGCATAATAAGCAGTTATTAAGAACTTATAACGTGTTTATAGAGGAATTAATAACATCTATAAACTATTAGCCATCTATAAGGGGAGCCTTTTTGTAAAGTGGTACCGATATTTTAATGTGTGGTTATTAGGGTTAATATTTTATTAAATGATTCCTCTCATTTAAGCATCATCTTCCTAAACTTTTCTGTTAAAGCCGTTTATGAGCAACATTTTGGTTCCTCTTCTTGTAGATAATCAAATTCATTGGAAGAGTTTCCTTTTGTTTAAAAAAAGTTTTGTTTACCATGTAAATACCAAAGAGTTAAACCATGGAGCTCCCTTTCACAACAGACTCCTTGATGTTGCTTTAGGCACGTTGCCATAATGTGCACATATTTGCATGTTTCACACATTTACAACTACCTGCGGGTTTGGTATGCGGGGGAGTGTGCAGCAGTTGAAGGAGTGTGTGTTTGGGTGTGTAACGTTGAGAATAATTCATCTGACGTTCAGTTTCCTCCAGGAGAAACGTCGCCCTGCAGTTTGACTCGAGCCTCTAACTCTTCATCAGCTTGTTGATTAAAAACCATCATCAGAGTAACTTTGACTCTGTTTATGAACTCCTTTGAGGGCATCAGCAATTCTTATGAGGAATTAAACCTTAAACAGAAAAGTAGTTAAGGAAAAGGAGTTCAAGCTTTTTTAATGACTGAAAGCAAAATGTTCTATTATACTGAACAAAAATATAAACAGAACACTTTAGTTTTTGCTCCCATTATTCATGAGCCAAACTCAAAGATCTAAAACTTTGTACACAACAGGACTTTTTCTCTCACATATTGTTCACAAATTTGTGTAAATCTGTTTTAGTGAGCACGTCTCCTTTGCAGAGACAACCCATCCACCTCACAGCTGTGGCACATCAACATGATTAGACAGCATGGTTGTTGCACAGGTGTACCTTAGGCTGACCACAATAAAGGGCCTCTCTAAAATGTGCAGTTTTGTCACACAGCATTGCACAGTGCCACGGATATTGCAAGATTTGAAGGAGTGTGCAGTTGGAGGCAACCCAAAAGGTTTTACAAAGATCCAATGAGGCCTCCATACAAACAGTTTGTGAAAGATGAAACAAGCTCATCAATCGAAAAAGTCATCACTAATGTCTTTAGAGTTCTTCTGTCTTATGAACAACATTGTGTCACTTTTCAGATGGCTCAAAAGCAAAACAAGGAACTACTGTACTTCATGGTAACAACTTCACTCAATACTTAAAGGAGTCAGCAGCTCAAAAGAGCAAAGCAGGAAAGAAGTCAAAAATCTTTCAACACATTTCTGCGTTCTTTTCACTCCCATTTAATCATCTAGTAACTCTCAGACTTGTGAAGTGCCCCTCAAGACCAAACTGTGTACGTTCTTTTCCACTTAATGATTAAATGATCAAATGATTAAAGCACTACATGACTCTTGAATCATAACACGGTCCTGACATTTTCCTTCTCCTGTACACTTTTGCATCACCTGATGTTTACACATTTTACTGAAAAACCAGTAGATCAGTCAGAGGGAGAACAGTTTGACATTTTTACATGAACATTTAGTTAAACAGGATCTTTAATGCAGGACATTTTCTGATTGATACATATATATATATATA